AGGAAACCTTCTGTATAAGAGAGACAGAAGGGATCCTGAGTAGGTGACTGTATCTGCAACATTTTCATGCATTCATGGAGTTACTGAGCACTGCTGAGACATCATGGGCAATGTATTTCTATCAGTCAGGTAAAGACAATATTGTGATTTGTTTCTTGTTGTTTCATGTAAAATACACGTACATATATGCATCCCTCTGACACATGGAGATTGACTTAGAGTAAATGTTTCTCAAACTGTTCTTAATTAAAGTTTTTGAGTTTTGTCTTTAAAGGTTCCCATTAAGTTTGTGCATCTTCTGTATTTAATTTGTCACTGTTGAGAGTCCACAAGATGGCAGCATCTTCTCAGGCACCCTGAGGATGATTTCTACTCCTTTCACACTGTATGTGTGTGTGTGTGTGTGTGTGTGTGTGTGTGTGTGCAAATGTTATATGAGACAGAGAAAGGGAGAGAGACAGACAGACAGACACACACACACAGATAGAGATAGATGTGGAGTGAGTGAGACAGAAGGGAAAGAGATCAGTGGAAGTGCTTGGCTTAGGTTGATGGCTAAAAGAACTAATTTTGAGAACAGATACTTTTATTCTTGCTTCCTACAGCAAAAGACTCAAAGTATTTCAAGAAGCTTTGTAGAGTTTAACATCTGAATCTTTAATGAACAAGAGTAGAAGGATGAAGTCCTTCAGCGTTTTTCTAGTGATCCTTTGGCTTCAGTTCACCTGTGAGTATGGGCATTTCTTTGGGAACTTAAAGTACAGTATGCAAAATTGTTGTCTGGGCCAGCACTGTGGGATGAATATGAGTGGTTTTGTCCTCTCAATACAGGAGGTTTGGAAATCTCTGAAGAGATAATTTTTATTCTGGAGAGTAAGCACCCACTTCCCAACCAATCTTCTCTGCCATCTGCTTTGTGCACAGGGGTGAGAGGCCAGCAGAAAGAGGTGGAGCAGAGTCCTGAGTTCCTCAGTGTCCCAGAGGGAGCCATCGCCTCTCTCAACTGCACTTACAGGGACAGTGCCTCTGACACCTTCAGGTGGTACCGACAGTACCCTGGGAAAGGCCCTGAGTTGCTCATGTCTCTATACTCCAATGGTGACCAAGAAGAAGGAAGATTCAGAGCGCATCTCAACAAAGCCAACCGCTATGTTTCCCTGAACATTAGAGACTCCCAGTCCCTTGACTCAGCCACCTACTTCTGTGCAGTGAGTGCACGCACAGTGGTCCCCAGGCACCTGCAGCCTGCACCCAAACCTCAGAGGCTCAGGCAGACCTGAGGCAAAGTGAAGATCACAGGGTAGAGCAGTTCTGTTCCTGCTCCAGATGCAGTGGGAATTAAGAACAATAGCAGGAAGGGTTTCATAGAGTAGGACAGTATTTTTAACAATTATGAAAGTAACTGACCATGATGGGAAAGTTTACACCCATGAAACTGTCACCATAAATCATCCCACAAACATGACACTTGCCTATAGATGTTTTAAGTCATAAATTATTTTAGTTGTAGGAAATTAACAATTGTTATTATATGGCATATTTTTATCTTCAAAGTAGTTGCTCAGATTACAAGATATAGCCATGTAAAATTTATCATATAAGTACTAACTGTTTCACTCAATGAACTGATAGAAATGAGTAGTACAAACATCTTAGCTATCTTGTGTATTCATATGTATGTTTTTTGCCTTCGTTCTTTTTCTCCTTTCCCTTACCCCAGTTCTTTTTTCATTTTAAAGGGAAAGAACAGAAAAGATATAACAAAAACAAAGACAAAAATCAAACAATACAAAAAGTATAAAAAACAATATAGAATTTCAAAACAAGATGATAGGAAATCTACAATGGTAATTGTATTACTTGTTGTTATCTTCAAACTAGTTCCTCAGATTCCCAGATATAGGCATTCAAAATTGATCAAACAATTAAACATTAACTGTTCCTTTCAGTAAATTAATAGAAATTAGTGGTACAATTATCTTAGCTATCTTGTATGTGTGTGTGTATATATATAAATATGTATGTATGTATATATGTATATATATATATACACACACATACAAAATATATATATATTTCCCTTCCTTCTTTCCTTTCTTCTTTCCCACCTCCCAGTTGTTCCTTTGTATTAAGAAGTTTCTGGGCTGGGGATTTAGCTCAGCGGCAAAGCACCTGCCTGGCAAGTGCAAGGTCGTGAGTTCGGTTCCTGGTACCGGAGAAAAAACAAAAAACAAAACAAAAAAAACCACATGGGGCTGGGGATTTAGCTCAGCGGCAAAAGCACTTGCCTGGCAAGCGCAAGGTCGTGAGTTCGGTTCCTGGTACCGGAGAAAAAACAAAACAAAACAAAACAAAAAAAAAAAAAGAAGTTTCCTTCCCTTTGACAATATCTATTGTACCTCTCAGTTTTATTTCCTGTTTCAGTTTCTTGCACTAGAGAGGCAATAATGTGTTTACATATGTGGGTTTGACTTATGTCTCCAATGAGTATGGTCTCTTGTTGCATCCATTTACCTATAAAATCCTTGAGTTTATCTTTCTTTATAGGTGAGTAATATCCCATTGTATAAAAATACTACATTTTTATTATGCATTCCTCAGTTGATGGGCATTTGGTTTTTTTTCCAAAAATTTCCTATAACAAAATGTGCTGCTATGAACATGGGTGCGCACATATATAGCTGTGCCATGATGTTTTTAATTCTTCTGGGAAAATACCCAGAAGGGGAATGGCTGGGTTAAATGGGACCTCTAATCCTAATTTTTTGAGGAATCCAGACTGATTTTCAAAGTGATTGCACCACTACATTGTCACCAACAGTGGAGAAGAGTTCCTTGTCCCCACAGCCCCTCCAGCACTTGTTATTGGTTGATTTCTTGATGATAGCCATTCTTACCAGGGTGAGTTGAAATCTCAATGTTCATTTAATTTGCATCTCTTGAATGATGAATGATGTTGAGCATTCGTCAGAGAATGAGAGTGAAAAATGATGTTGAGCATTTTTTCACGTTTTTATTTGCCATTTGTATTTCTTCACCTCAGAAGTGTGTATTCATCTCAGATGCCCTTTTTTTGATTGGGTCTTTGAATTTGAGGGTCTGAGTTTTAAAAATTTTTTATATGTTCTACATAGAAGTCCTGTGTCTGAGGGACAGATAGCTAAAATACTTTCCCACTCTGTGGGTTGTCTTTTCACTCTATTGGTGATTTTTTTGAAGTATGAAAGCTTTTTAATAAGATGAGATCCCAGTTATTCATTCTCTGAAGTCTTTCTTGTGCAATTTGGGTTTTGTTCATGAATGCTATGCTGTGTTGTTCAATAATGCTGTTCATGAATGCTCTACCTATGTCTTCAAGATTTCAACTTACTTTCTCTTCCAGTAGATTTAGTGTTTCTGCTTTAATATTGAAATCTTTGATCTATTTTGACTTTAGTTTAGTGTATGGTGATAGACATGGGTCTAGTTTTAGTCCTCAGCGTGTAAAAAGCCAATTTTTCCAGCACCATTTATTAAAGAGGCTATTTTTCATCTAGTTATCATGTTTGGCCCCTTTGTCAAAGATAAAGTGGCTGAGTGTGTTTGTAGCTGTGTCTGCATCTTCTAATCTGTTCTCCTGGTGCTCAGGTCTATTTTTTGCCAGTACCATGCTGATTTTTATCACAGTAGCTATGTAGTATAATTTCCAGTCAGGGATTGTGATCCCTTCTGACTTGTTTTTGTTGCCCAGGATTGTATTTGCAATTCTATGTCTCTTCAGTTTCATGATAAATTTTAGGAGTATTTTCTCTACTTCTGTGAGGTAGACTAATGGTATTTTCATTGGGATTGCATTAAATCTGTCTAACAATTTTGGAAGTGTGGCCATTTTCACTGTGTTGGTTCTTCCTATCCATTAACAAGGGATGTTGTTCCATCTTTTGATATGCTCTTCAATCTCCTTTTTGAGTGTACTGTAATAGTCATTGCATAGATCTTTTACTTCCTTTATTAGATTGACTCTTAAGTAAGTACAGTGGGCCCTTACTATATCATGGTTCACTTATTGTGGCTTCCCTGTATTGCAGATTAAGAAAAACATCTAATTCTGTATTGTGGAGTTTTTCATTATATCACAGGATTTTGCAGTATATAGGTATTTAAATAATACTTATGATGTTAATTGTTTTTGCCTAAAAATTTAAAACAATGTAAAAATTTAAAAAATGTTAATTCAAACACATTAAAAGAATATTAAATTGAAATAAAATGCAGCATATCTTTCATTAGCAGATAAATACCATACTGTACAAAATGGAAATGCAGTATGCCACTACCACTTGCAGAAGCTTGCCAGCATGAGATTGTAAATGGCACACTTTTGACTGATAAAATGGAAGCTGATCAACCATAATACTGTGTTCTATAATCGGGGCACTGATTTGCTCAGTGATCATAGCATCAATCTGTTTGCTCTCCTGCACTGTTAACAATGTTGAGCATCTCTGATTGTCCCATTCATATGGATGTCTGATTGCTGCACGTAGTGTTGCTCTGCAGTTTTTTCACAAGTTTTTGTGAAATTTTTGTAAAGCCTTCAATTTATTTCAAGTCCTATGATGACACCCAAATGTTCTGCTCCTTCTAAGGCTTCTGATAGTGAACTCAAGAGCCAGAGGAAGATTCTTGCCATCAAAGAAAGATTGGAATGTCTTGACATGTTACAGGAAGGTAAAAGCTGCGTGGCTGTAGGCTGCCAGTCTGGGATCAATGAATCTATTGTTCACTACACAAAGAAAGATGAGAAGA